GGATGTCCAACTGATGGCTTAGGCCCACTGCCCGCAGGGAGTGGGCCCAAGCCAGCAGTAGGACATCCTTAGCGCTGCCGTGGGGGTGGGAGAGGTTCCCACCACTGCTGCTGTGCTTGCTAGCTGTGAACCCAGCTTCTGGCTGAGTAGCGCTCCCCCTATGGGAGCGCACTGACCACCAGAGGGTAGCTCCTATGTTGACCGTCTGCCCCTGGTAGTCAGTGTGCTTCATAGAGACCAGTCATTCCACTGTCAGACCAAAACTAGCTCTCCAAAACATCCCCCCCCCCAGGAGTCCCGGATTGTGACAGGGTGCAGATAAGGCGGAGGGACCCCACCAGTGCACAATCAGGGCCGGGGAAGGATGCAGAAGGTTGGCCAGTCAGGGAAGGACTGCAGGAGGGCTCCAGGGCATGTCCAGCCTGTCTCGCTCAGTTCCAATGGGCCGGACCCCAGCAGCAAGCTAACCTACCGGTCGGAGTGTCTGCCCCCTGGTGGCCAGTGCACATCACAGCAAGCGGTTGAGTAGCCTTAGCATGTCATTTGCTTGGTTGAAAGGCCGACCAAATGACCAGACACTTAGCATATTAGGCTTTTATTATATAGCAGCAGTCGCCAAACTTTCAGACCTTGTGGACCACCAGTGGTCCGCGGACCACTGGTTGGTGACCGCTGTTATATAGGATATTTATGAAGCCCAAGTAGCCATGAATCAAATGGCATGCCTCTAGAGAGAACATAGAAATTTGGGAAGTAGCATTAATTACATATTCCAATAAAAAGGCAAAAGTTGCTTGAATTATTTGGGTCTAATTTATCTATTTTACATCACTGGCAAAATGCTTCCTGAAAGGACTTTGCTTTGAAGCCACTATGTTAAATGAATCTTATAGAACAGAACAGAGATCCTATGGGCTCCCTGTAGCGTGTTCTGTGACTGCATGTCAGGGTTGTCCTCTGATTCGTCCTCTCTGACCACTCCATGTAGATTTATTTCTTTAGAGAAATTCACTAAAAGCCTGAGGCTCATTATACTGTAGTGGTGTTAATAGCATGTGTGTCCCATCTAAGTATCAAATCAGGGCTTCATTAGAGGTGCTATTTTATTCTAACTGTTTTAAGCAGCCTCACCTCCCAGGGCCCATGTAATCTAGTATTCATAAACATCTGCCGTGCCCTGAGGGAGTCCTCCAGTTCAACAGGGTGTGATCCTCAATCAGGTGTCCTTGAAATAGATGGGTACAGATACTTATGTATTCTATCTTCAGGAATAGAATGAAATTAGGTTATAAAAACAAAAGTTTCTGGAATTGCCTACTATTTAAATTATGCCTCAGACTACCCAATTTGCCAAGTAATTGGGAGCTAAGCAAAAAATAATCAAAGCCACATCAATAGAATTAGCCCGTTGCCTCCAGGTTCAGATCAAGGGTAAAGAGGAGTGGGGAAGAACATACACTGGGGAGTGGCAGGGCCTGTGTTTGAATCCTCTTATGGGCAACGTGCTATCAGGTGTTTGAGTTTCCTATTGTAACAAATTACCGCAAATTTAGTAGCTTACAACAACACAAATGTATTTCCCTACAATTCTAAGTCAGCAGGCCCAAAATCAAGGTGTTGGCAGGGCTGCATTCCTCCTGGAGGCTCTAAGGGAGAAGTCATTTCATTGACTTTTCCAAACTTCTACAGGGTACTTGCAATTCCTTTGTTTGTGGTCCCTTCCTCCATCTCCAAAGCCAATAGCATAGCATCATCAAGCCTCTCTCTCTCTCTCTCTCTCTCTCTCTCTCTCTCTCTCTCTCTCTTTCCCTTCTTCCTCTCTCTTTCTTCCCCTCCTCTCATTCACACACACACACACACACACACACACACACACACGCCCCTTGCACACAAACATTTTCACATCCACTATAAGAGCTGGTTATCTTAATTGAAACACACTGATTCTGAAACCAAAACCTTCATACACCTAAGAGAATCTTTTAAATTGGGCTAAGAAAATCAGCAGCGCAGACACCCCCTTCTGTGCCAAGGTAGTCTTTGAAGCCCACATGCACGCACCCTAAAATGTGCTTTGTCTTCCTCCAAGAAGTGAAAAGCTGCACCCATCCTTCTATGCTTCTGAAATTGTGGTTCTGGAATTCTCTCCGATTCAAAGTTTTCTATGCAACTTCAGGCCACTCCCTTCATCAACCAGGCACCGAATAAGGCCTCTTGTGTGTGCTGAGCATTTGTTTCCCATTTGCTGGGAGAAGAACAAAGGAAGAGAGAGAGAGAGAGAGAGAGAGAGAGAGAGAGAGAGAGAGCTCCGAACAAACACAGGAAGTGCTGAGGACAGTTTGGAGAGGGAAGGAATGTTACTGAGCCAAGCTTGAATTCGAAGTTCACTATTTTAATAATTCATTTATTCTGAATGGTGAGAAGCAGATATAGAACTAAATTAATATTCACCAGTTATTATTTATAGCAAACATACTTCCCTTATACAAGTAGATGAGTCCTGTATCATTTGCTCCTAGAAGAAGTGTGGGAGCAAGTGACTGATTCCTAATTGTTTTTACAATCAGTAGGAAGACATATATGGCGTTCCAGAGACTGTATTCCACTTCTTTCCTTCTATTAGAAGGAAATCATGGGTCTAGGATCCCTGCCGACACACCAGTGGCCTGGAAATTTTTGATTAAACATTCAAAGGATATGACATGTGTGGCGTCCTCTCCTATCTGGGCTGCGTGCCACGCTTAAATCGTAGCCATCAAGCCAGGCGGCTCCGCTCTGAAAGCCACAAACACTCCTCAGCTCTCACAGCATCTTTGCATCACAAAGTGGCTCCCATCTCATCAGAACACTCGGATGAGATAAGCTGACACTTTCAGACCATTTTATGATAAATGTACCTCATAGCATCTGCTGTAGAACCATTATCTCTGTCTCATCCTCCACTTTATTCCCAGTGGTTTTTCCTCTTTCTGTCAGTGTCTGGAGCTGGTTCCTGCCTGAAATCAGGGAAACTAGGAGGAGACCAACAAAAAGGAAAAGGAAAGAAAAGCATCAGGCATTGGCCACCCAAGAATGACGATAACATGTATCCAGTACCTACAGTGTGCCTTCTGTTTCACACATTCTATTTACGAATTAGAGAATTAAATCTCTGTATCATGCCTTAAAGACAGACTATTAATTCCACATTTTTCAAATGATAACACTAAAACTCAGAGCAGTCAAGAAACTTACTCCAAATCACACAGCTAAGCAGTGGTACAGCCAGGTCTTCTACATCACCATCAACATGCAGCCACTGTGATTTGTCATTGAAATCAGAAGACAAAATCATGGAGAGGAAAGCTTGGCACACTGTCTTAAGGATCCCATAGGGATGCTTAACTCATGAGGACAGTGCAGCACTAAAGAAACCCTGCCCAGCTGGCATGGCTCAGTGGTTGAGTGTCGACCTATGAACCAGGAGGTCGCGGTTCGATTCCTGGTCAGGGCACAAGCCCAGGTTGTAGGCTCGATCCCCAGTGTGGGGCATGCAGCAGGCAGCTGGTCAATGATTCTCTCATCATTGATGTTTCTATCTCTCTCCCCCTCTCCCTTCCTCTCTAAAAGCAATAAAAATATGTTTCTAAAAAAGAAATCCTGATTGTGAGCTCATTTGAGCCCTGAACCTGCCTTGAGTGCAAGGGGGAAGCAGATGGAGGAGAGCTGAGACATCAACAGAAATCCATTTTCTACCAAAAGGAAAAGTTGGGAGACCAAAGAGGAGGGGTACGATCCTTGTAGAGGGTGCCGAAAGGGCTAACTCCAGGAGTTTTACTGTCACCTTGGCGGCGTTTCTAAGCTAGCTGGGTGAGGAGATCCTTGGCCAGGAAGCCAGCAAGCCGGTTCAGAAGCCAGCCTCAGGTACGGCGGAAGGGAGCTTCTCTGATTGGAAGTTTCCACTTCTCACAATGAGCTAGCTAGCCAGTGGTCGGCAAACTGCGCTCGCGAGCCACATGCGGCTCTTTGGCCCCTTGAGTGTGGCTCTTCCTAAGCCTTAGGAGTACCCTAATTAAGTTAATAACAATGCACCTACCTATATAGTTTAAGTTTAAAAAATTTGGCTCTCAAAAGAAATTTCAATCGTACTGTTGATATTTGGCTCTGTTGACTAATGAGTTTGCCGACCACTAAGCTAGTCAAACACTGGTCCCTTGCACTGTAAGAGCAAGAGGGATGAAGAGTTTCAAAGCTTGCCTTTTAAATTCTCATTTGCCTCGTTTGCACTTGAACAGATTATTATTGCTGCCTACATTACAGTGTTTAATACAATGTAATCAACTTGCTAGGAAGTAAAAGTCTAACCGTTTTATGATTTGTTACATTGAAATTTAAATTTGCATATTAAGCAGCAAAGTCATTAACATGTGTACCTATTCATCAACTATGGATTATAAAACACCTCTCTAGTTGAGCCCAAACAGCAAGCCATTTTCTGATTGAATTGCTTAATCAAATAGAAGATAATTAGCAGCATTCTTTTTGTACAGTGTTTGCTTTAGTCACTTGAAATTAAAACAAAGACATTCAGAAACTTGCCCAAGTCATCCTCATAACTGTTTCGTAAGCATATCCCTGCAAAGGCTAGATTGACTCTTCTCTGGGAAAAAAAAAAACTGCACTCTAAAATAAACCTCTATAAATCAAGCAAAGCCAAGTAAATGGTACCTGAACTCAGATTCAATTTCATCACTTGAATTTCAATTCAAACCTTCATCGCTGGTGAGGGCTGATCTAAACCCCGCTTTGCGGATTTGTACCATGAGAAATACAAAGAACAGGCAGCAAACTTCCCCATATAAATGAGACTGTCTTTATAAATCAGTGGTGAGCTAACTTACTTTGGTGCTTCTAACCTACACTACAAACACAAATTCCTTCTGCACCCACCGAAGCCTCCTTTTTAACAGTGACTTCAGAGCCCTGAGTGGGCTTGTCTTAACCTCTTCCGTCTCTCACAGTGTTGACCACAGGCTTAGACCTCCTCGACCTGAGTGAACCCGTCTCACAAACCCAAACCAAAGCCAAGAAGCTGGAGGCCTCATCGAAAACCGCATCCCTCAAGAAGAAGGCTGATGGAGCTGATCTCATAGGTGCGGAGGCTGAACAGAGGGGCCCGCAGCCTCTTCGAGGCCCGGAGACGGCATCCTTAGATTTAGGTGAGGCAATAGCTAAGTGTCTGTTGCTGCTCACCCTTGCCTTGACACGAGGACGTTCCACAAATGGCATTAAAACCATGGGCAAAGGAGTAGAAAGGATTAATTCCACATAGAAAATGGCAGGACACTCGTCTTTTGTGCTTGAGTTAAGTGGCTTTGCATAACTGATATGGATTCAGTCATTTATTTATTCAACCCACATGTATTGCGCTCTTGATAGATGGAAGGCACCATACTAGGCATTGGAGCAAAAATCAGACACGAATATTTCTCTCTAGGAGCATTCAGTCTAGAGAGAGCCAGGGGAGAAGGAGAGAGAGAGAGAGAGAGAGAGAGAGAGAGAGAGAGAGAGAGAGAGAACAGGAGAGGAGAGGAAAACAACTCTAACACTAGGTTCAGGAACAGCCCAGCAGAATGGTGACATGTAATATGCATAGAGATACATTCAATACAATAGCCGTTACCATTTATTGATGGTTTATGACAGTGATGGCGAACCTATGACACGCGTGTCAGAGGTGACACGCGAACTCATTTTTTTGGTTGATTTTTTCTTTGTTAAATGGCATTTAAATATATAAAGTAAATATCAAAAATATAAATCTTTGTTTTACTATGGTTGCAAATATCAAAAGATTTCTATATGTGACACGGCACCAGAGTTAAGTTAGGGTTTTTCAACATGCTGACACGCCGAGCTCAAAAGGTTCGCCATCACTGGTTTATGATGTCCAGGACTGTGCTAATATATGTAATGATTTACATATATTAGCCCTTTAATTCATCCCAACTCTTTGAAATAAGTGAGGAACCAGGTTTTCAAATTTAAATAACTTGCCCAAAATCTCAGTTAGTATGAAGAACTGGAATTTGAGGCCAGCTCTAATTAACTTCAAAGCCCGTGCTTTTAACCACTGTACATCTTCCTGAGAAAGGAGAGCTTAACCTCAGCACGTGGAAACAGTCAAACGCTCCTTTCTCGGGAGAATGAAGGTGGCAGGCATTTTAGAAAGCCGAAGGAAACATGTATCTCTCCAGGCTGAGGCTGGCTGGTGTGTATGTGTATGGGTAAATAGTCATAAAATTAACATATTAGCAACCTATCCGTAGGTTGTGAAGATTAAAGGGGAAAGATATGTGGAGTTGCCGAGCACTGCCACGTGTACATGTTAGATGGTCATGAATTAATTTATTCATTTGTTCAGTAAACATTTCTCTGAATGCCTACCATGTTCCATACTATGTGCTAGGAATACAAAGATAAATAATATAAGCTCTCTGCCTTCATTAAGCTTACATTCTCACTTAGTAAGTTCACACTCCAGTGGAGAGATAGAAAAATGATTAATTGATTATAATAAAATATGCACCACAGTAGTCCCCCGAATTTGCAGTTTCACTTTCTGAAGTGTCAGTTACCAGTCCGAAAATGTTAAGTGGAAAATTCCAGAAATCATCAATTAATAAGTTTTCAATAGCATGCCATTCTGAGAAGCATAATGAGGTCTCCAGGGCTCTGGCTCCATCCCGCCAAGGATGTGAATCACCCCTCTGTCCAGCCTCTCCACACCATAGCTGCTCCCTGCCCCTTAGTCCTTTAGTAGCTGACTCAGTTATCAGATTGACTGTCTCCGTATTGCAGTGCCTGTGTCCAAGGACCTCTTATTTACTTAATAATGGGCCCAAAGCAGAAGCATAGTGATGCTGGCAATTCGGATATGCCAAAGAGAATCCGTTAAGTTCCTCTTGTAAGTGAAAAGGTGAACGTTCTTGATTTAACAAGAAAAGGGGGAAAAAAGCATATGCCATGGTTATTAAGGTTTGTGGTAAGAATGAATCTTCTATGCATAAAATTGCCTACTTTTTACATTAAACTTCATCTTAGGTGTACGTGATTAGGAAAGAACATAGTACATATAGGGTTCAGTACCAACCACTGTTTCAGGCATCTACTGAGGGTCTTGGAAAGTATCCCCTGAAGATAAGGGGAAACTAGTGTATATGTTGCAATGAAAGGAAGCCCAGGTCACTTCCAAAAAGAGCACCTTCATAGAGCCCTGACCCAGCCAGGGGGTTGTAGAAGGTCTTATAGGAGGTACTATGTGAGCAGAGTCTTGCAGATGAGTGGAAATTTTCCAGATGAAAAATATGGATCAGAGGGAGGGAGAAAAGAAGGACAGGGCATTCCTGATGCAGAAGAGAAGGGGGTTCACACACAAATAGACAAACACACAAAAATATCCTTTCAAGCAAATACAAACATTTGTGATAGTATTCAAGCAGTGAGGAATAAGTCTGAGAGTCACTAGGGGCTGGGATAATGGGATAATGGATGCCATACCCTTGAGTTTGGGGGAAAGGCGGGGTTGAAAGGTTTTACACATAAGAAGGACTTCAACAGATTCTACTTTAAAAAGCGTTTTTTTCTGGTGGATGCGTAGATGAAGAAGTGGGAGTAGGACTTGTGGACCAAGTAGACACGTGTATGCCAGCAATGAAGACATATAGAATGTGCCGAACTCTGTGATAAGGATACAAGAGGGAAAGAGGGAGGCAGGAAGTCAAGGTGGAAATTCTGGAGTTGTTTTGAACCTGTTTTACAGGATGGGGCAAGAGTAGGTTTGCAGTTGTTCATATGGAAAATAATACAATAATCAACAAATAATAATGCAAGAATAAACTGTGTTTTGTGTACTTACAACTGTATTACAGTTGTAAACAATACATTAGCCCCACCATGTATTTGAGGAAACTGGGATTTCTCTGTGGAGATGTCCAATCAACTGTTAAATGTATAGATCTAGAACTTGAGAGAGAGAGCTGAGCAGGAAATGGAGATTTGAACATCTGAAGCCTGTGAATGGATATCGCATTCATGGGTATAGATGACCTCACCCAAAGATCATAGAAAACATCTATATATATAAAAGCCTAAACAACCGTTGACCATTATGACCAGTCACTATGACACGCACTGACCACCAGGGGGCAGACGCTCAACACAGGAGCTGCCCCCTGGTGGTCAGTGTGATTCCACAGCCAATCTCCCACAGCCAGCCAACATCCCACAGTCCCTCCCCCTGGCCAGCCGGCCCCAAACAGCCCTGATTGCCCCTGATCGCTGGCCAGGCTGAGGAACCCCACCCATGCACAAAATCGTGCACTAGGCCTCTAGTTATAATATAACACAATATACATGTAAATGTGACTTAAATTTCTCTGCTTCTGAGGAAATGTCCTGTGTAAGAAGTCATAAAAATGTTTCATTTCAAGAACTTTGGAGGACACAGAAAGCAAACCTCTCTTTTCTTAATGGGAAAAAATGGACCTAAGATGGTTTAAGTGGTTTATTTACAGTCACACACTTGTTAATGAGAGAGAAGGACACTTTAGGTCAGATGGAAGAATGAAGCCACAGGGAGAAAATGGTCTGGCATTCTCTTGGCTTTCTCCTTTCTCTCCATCCCCATTATTAATTCCTTTCTTTGGTGAGAAACTACACAGTCTGTACAAAAGCTGTGAAAGGTGCTTTAGTTTCTTCTCACCTCCTTTAGACAGAATTTCTTTCTAGAAACATGCCAGGCATGCCTCAAAGCCATGGTCTGAGCTAGAGGCCAACAGGACCCAGCACTCCATGTGCTCATTCCCACAGGGTTCCATGGCCTCATGCACAGAATTCAGAATGCATATAGCTCTTGAAACAAATTCAGGTAAAACAACTTGATTGTTTAACTGTAAATGCAATTGAATTTCCTTAATAGATCTCATTTTTATTTAGCTACACATGTTTTAATTTTCATGTGACCTTAAAGAATTGGTCTTGGGGTTTGAAAATATCAGTTGAGTGAAGTTCACTTGTAATAACACTTCTCAACCTTAATCAGTTTCTCTTCTTCTCTCTGCACCTCATATTCTCCCCCTATCCCTCTCATTCCCTTCCTGTGTCCTTGACAGACATTCAAACACAACTGGAAAAATGGGACGATGTTAAGTTTCATGGAGATCGCAGTAGCAAGGGTCATCCAATGGCAGAGAGAAAATCATGCTCTTCTAGAACTGGATCGAAAGAACTCTTATGGTAAGGTATTTCAGTATCAGGAAATAGCCATTTAAGTGTCCACTGTATGGGTTTTTCCTCTCATGTACTGAAATAGCCAATGAGTTAAGTCAATCCAAATACTTGGTGTCATGTATAACCCCTTATATATCAACTAGAGGCCCGGTGCACAAAATTCATGCATGGGTAGGGTCCCTAGGCATGGCTGGTGATCAGGGCCAATCTGTGGGGTGACTGGCAGGGCCATCAGGGCTCCCCCGCTGGCACCCACCTTGGCTGGCCTGGGGCCTGCAGGCTGGGGGCAGCTCCTGCATTGAGCATCTGCTCCCTTGTGGTCAGTGCATGTCATAGTGACCAGTCCTTCCACCAGTTGTTCTGCTGTTCAGTCAATTTGCATATTAGGCTTTTATTATATAGGATGTTAATTACTGTGCCCTCTAAAACTAAATTTTCCATCTAAATTGTCCAAAAATAAATCAGCCAATAAGGATTCTGGTAGGTTCATAATATCAATGTGTGTTGATACTTTTCTGAACATGTAATTGAGATGATCAAAATAGGTGCATACATGTGTTTACATTCATGTGTATTTAACATATTACATGAATGATAGTTAAATTAAATGTTTCTGGTTACACAGGTAACCTTTTCTGACTTTCTTAGTCATCACTGTTAGATAATGTACTATTTAAGGGTAATCCATGGAGGCCATGAGAAAATTGGCTACCTGAATTTTACCATAATTTTATTAATTTTTTTTTTTTTAGAGAGAGGAAGGGAGAGGGATAGAGAGTTAGAAACGAAATATCGATGAGAGAGAAACATTGATCAGTTGCCTCCTGCACACCTCCTACTGGGGATGTGACTGCAACCAAGGTACATGCCCTTGACTGGAATGGAACCTGGGACCCTTCAGTCCGCAGGCCGACGCTCTATCCACTGAGCCAAACCAGCCAGGGCTACCATATTTTTAAAGCTTCCTAAAGGGCAACATGTTTCAATCTCCTATTGCCCCTCACACATCTCTGCTTATTATGACATTTCATGTTCTATATAAAGATTAAGTCACACCTGAGATGCTTTGTGAGAATCTCTACCCCCAAAACAATACTTTTTAATAAAACAGAACTTTTTGTAACAAAAACAAGATTACATGTATTTACTTTTTGCCCATAATTTAACTGAATTCTAAATCAGAGATAATAACACCTAGCAGGTCACAGCCACTTAAATTCCAAAGAACTTATATGCATATATGGGCACACAATAGTGCAGTAGGCCTGGGGTGGGTGTTGGAGGTGGAGGAGGTCAATAGGGGAAAAAGGGGAACATCTGTAATACTTTCAACAATCAAGATAATTTTTTTAATTCCAAAGATGGTCATTAAAATAAAAACATATAAAAGTTATATTTTTAATCAAAATTCTGGTGAGAGTTTTATTACTGCAGCTCTCGATGATCCAAGTTCTCTAGGTTTCTCGGCTGGCTCTCTAGCTAACTGCCTCTCAGTGTGCATCGGTCTCCTTCATTCCCCCCTCAGGTCCTCCGAGCACAGATCCCAGCCTGAACTGAGTGCTGGGAAAAGCGCCCTGAACGCCGAGTCAGCTTCAGAGCTGGAATTAGTGACTCCAACACAGGTAACCGAGCAACTCTTCAAGGAACCCGTCTTCTCTCATAGATCATTTCTATCTTAAACAGTTTATTTAAATGTTCACAAAAAGTTTTAAGTATGTTTTCTATACCTTTTTTGCATGTGCTTTCTTACTCAGTTATCTGTCTCGGTGCTTAAAATATATATATATTTGACTGACAAATGTGTTAATGATGTCAGTCATTAACTGTGTACTTAGCACTTTTTTCTTTTTCTACCATTTACTGTCCCATGACTTTGCAATACAAACTCTGTACTACTCCATTATTAGCACTATTGATGTAGCAGAGTACAAAGAAGAGGAAATTACATCTCGCATGTTCATTTCCATCTCTGCCTGTGGAACAAGGTACTTACGCATCAGGATCCTGATTGCCACGTTCAAATACATTTCAGGGAAGGAATAAATAATTAGAGGAGTAGCAGCAATATTCATAGTAAAAGCTACCATCTCTGGACTTTACTATGTGCTTTTTATGTGTTACATCTAATACGGAGATAATCCTGTGAATTATTATTGGCCTCACTTTAAAGATCCTTCAAAGGGTATCAGTAAAGTAAAAATTATTTTCCAACTAATCACTGGTCGGAGTGGGTGGGAATAGGACCGGCCTGTCTACCACTTGACTCTCAACTACAGTGTAACTGACTTGTCTCTAACTAGTTACCACCTACAATCTTTTCAAATTCATTCTAGCACTTTTCAAGGGTACTGCTGGGGTCTAAAAACCACAAAGATCTCTTAAGAAATGTGTCTACATTCATGCACTCTGCAATTTAGTTGAAAATAAAATGGGTGGAGTGAAATAAGCCAGAAATTTTTTCTTGAGTTTATTAGATAAGATATTGAAACTAAAGGAATAAATATAATGTCTGAGGTGAAGTAAAGGGATAATTACGATAATAGAAAATAATATTAAATGTATGCTAAGTACATATATTAGCTCATTTGATCCAGAAAAAAAATGGCTCTATGAGTTAATATATTAGCCTTATTTTATAGGTGGGGAAACTAAGGCACAGTGAGATTAAGAAAAGTGTCTATGCACCCACAGTTAGTAA